TTCTTATTCTGTTCCGTTAATTTTCAAATTCATTACACCCAGAGCACTATGAATACCTAAAATGCGCGCATTTTATGAGTATCCCATAGTTCTCTTTATTGTAATTTTCATTAGCTAAGGGTGATTCTACTTTCAGCCCTACTGTGTTCCTCGAAACAAAATGTTTCATAGATTATTTGAGAAAAGTTCAAATATTTTACATACTTTTTACAGACTGAGAAAAGTTCAAAGGTTTACATCCTTTTTAAAGAAATATTTTAAACAATACGCGTGCTCTCTTCTACGATAGGTGTGTTTACATGAAATTATGTGCCATAGCATCAGTTGCAGACCTTTCTCGAATTTTCCCAACCACCTTCGTGTTTAGGTGAGGCTATGTAAACAAGCGGAAAAATTCCTCTCAGGCTATTATTTCTCAAACATGCTTTAAAGAATTTGCATTGTTTGTATTCCCCTGATATGTGTCACTTAGACTACGCTCAAGTTCTACACTCTGTACATACCTATATCTAATGACAATAATGGTTAAAAATTGAGTTTACCAATCATTTTATTTTCTAGATTTACCATGATTTTAGTAATGCGGAATGAGCTTTCCTTTCGATTTTAAACTTTTGTGTCTTATTATTTCCATTACCGCTTCTCGAACTTCCTTGATCTTCCAACAGTAAATAAGTAGAGTCAGCAGTGAATGTAGATTGACTAAAGCAACCGTGAAGGTGAATGCTACAAGAAGTGATAAGTTTAATCCAAAAATAATAATTAAAGCGGCTACTACTGCAAAAGGAACGTAGAATGTTACTAATGTTAAGTGAACCCAAAGTGAATTGATAACAGACTTCTTGTATCGCGCCATCGTCACTGTAGCACCTGCTTCTTGTACGACTTTTCGTCGACGCCAAATAGGGAGAAAGAATATTGTGTAGGAATAAGTTGAAATTGTAGTCTTGAACACAACTGTTACCCCAAATATGAAACAGTATGCCATCTTGTTCCAGAACGACACGACACCCACTAATATACTTTGGACCCAGATTAGAAATATGGTAACACGTACTCGCCTTACGGTTTCTACATGTCGATATCGTGTTCCTAACAACAGAGCCAAAAGTCGATCCACTGAAATGGGGGTTAGCGTCGACAAAAATACACCTGAGAAAATAGGAGCTAGAAGCAAGGCTGTATATTTTAACACTTCATAGTGTTCCCAATATTGGCTTATTGCTGTCCAATAAAAAGCAATTGATACTGGATGTGAAATAAAGCCAGCTCCAAGGTCGGTGATGGTGAGATTGTGAAGAAGCAGTTTTGATGTAGGGTAAAGACTCTTATCTCTGCGAAGCTAGACAAGGATCAAAATATTTTCAAGAGTGGTAGTTACGGATTGAAAACTGTAGACGACTGTCATGAGTGTTGGCAAGTAAGGTACTTGAAATATGTAGCCCCATATTCCATCGCAAAACATTGTATGGTTCGCTGCTTTGTGAAGATTCATCAGTTCGTCCTAAAAAAGATGAATCAACGCAAAGCTCGGTTATTCGCAGAACAAGACGCAAAACTTTGATGACGAGAAAAAGAATGAGTTCTAAGATCAAGTTGTTTCAAGAGCATTAAGTGAAGTTTGAGTTAAAGCTATGGTTTTCTTATTCTTGATGTCGAATTCAACATTCTCGTGCCGCGTCTCTTAAATTTATTGCATTTGTAATGTAGTAGGCCTCCGTCGGTCAGGGTCGACCATGGGTATAGCATCCTAGTTGTGTGATTGGCTGGAGCATCGGCGATTATGACTGTGAAGACCAATGCGTGGATGGCAGTCCCTGTTTCAAGTGTTGCATGTGTACGCTGTCTGTTGGACAAAGCTGACACGAAGCTTTCTGCGGGCCCGCCTCTCTGTGGCGGCTTGTGTCATCTTCTCCTCTCCTGTTTTGAGGTGCTTGGTCACGGTTCCTCTCCATTGTGACCGATCAGCTGCGAGATTCTGCGAGATTTGTAAATACTCCCTTAAAACAAGTGAATATAAGTGATCTTGCCTTAAAATTAACGCATTTGCGAACATCCATATCGGCTTTCAAGGAATAACCCTTTACATTACACAACTACTTAGATGCCATACTGACTTAAAAACTAATAAATGTCCAGAGGCTGTTGTTGCATCAGATACCAGATAACATGCAGTCTTTTTTACATACATGTAGATGGCAAAATCACCGTATACTTTTGCCACACTGGTACATGTTTTACTAAAGAGGGGAGAACGACAATACGTTTTGGATCAAAGAAATATTAAAACAGCTGGTTTTAAACGTGAAATGAAAATTTTCTTTATCAGCGCTTTTCCTAGTATCAGTCATTGCAACCTCTCCTCTTTAGCAAACTGCTATGCTGAAAAAGGTTCACCTATAGGGTTGAGCTTACTTTCACTATTTTAAAAGTAGAAATCATATTTTTACCTGCGAGTGAAATTCAAGTGAAGAACAACTGATCCATGCTAGTGGCAAGAAAAGAGGCCTACAAAAATTCGGGCTTCGACGGGATGAGAGCACTGTTAAACTTTGTACCTGGAAGAAATCGATACGTTTTCTCTGGTTACTTCAACACTCTTATTTGTCAAAGTAGAAACAAAAAACATTTAAAAAACCAGAACAGCGACACTTTTGACGAGTAGAATGCAGGTTTTTTACAGCATTGAAATACAACACATCGTTAACGAAGTGATCATTAAAGAAAATTATTATTGGTTTTTTTTAATTTCTTTTTTTCCACTGGCATGGAAAAAGTAAAAATTTCTAACAAAAAATTGAATTTCAGTATCTGTTATTCGCAGCTCGAGAGCTACAAAGATCTCTTCAGCATACTTGGCTACGCGTTTGGTTTATATCAACTCTCAAAACGAAACTGAATAGCATGTATTTGACCTGGTTTATCTGGGCTTGTTAAAGTAGAAAAAAAGGTAGAAAATTTGTGAAACGTTTCTTTTACTGCATGTCGAATTTCTTTTATTTTCCAGTAGTAAAGTAAGGATTTTAGTTTGATCTGATTATAAGTCAATCTTTCGGCAATAAATTAATACCGGAAAGGCTTGGTTGAGACCTAAGCATTACGACAGTATGGGGTAAATAACATGCGACTAACGTAGAGTGAACCCACAGTGTGTTTTTAACTGACTTTTTGTACCGTGCCATGTTGGGTGGAGTGCTCTGTGTTGTTTGATCTCCCAAAGTATCTTGCACCTCTCTCTGATACCTTCGAATGGTTCCAAAAATTCTGGTGTAGCAGTAACTTGAGACGATCAAATTCAAAGTTCCTACCGCACCTCTTACAATGGGGTAGGCTCTGTGATTCAAATAGTAGAGGAATGCGACAAAACTGGCCATGAACCACAATAAAAAGACGACCACACGAACTCGTCTGATAGTTACCACATGTCTGTATCTTATCCCCAGCGATAGAGCCAGGAGTCCGTCCAAACTTGTGACGGTCAACCTCGACAAAGATACACCGGAGAAAATTGTAGATGCAATATAGGTTGAGAATTGTAAGATATCACAGAGATTCCGGCTTCCATTTATGGAAGACAAGATCACAGCTATTGCTAATGGCTGTGCAATAAGGCCAGATCCAAAATCAGTCATGGTCAGAGAGCGAAGCAGAAGTTTTGATGGCGGGTGAACAGATGTTACCTTAGGAAGAGCGTATAGAATCGAAATATTCGCTAAGGTTGTTCTAATGGACTGAAGGCTGTAGATAATCATTAAAAATATTCGGAGGGCATAGAAATGTTGGTCATTTTGCCAGAAGCTTGGACAGCCGTTCATAATTTTATGTTTGCCTTCACTCAACTCCATCTTCAACTCTAGCCACTCGAGAAGAGATTAACGTGATTTTCGCTTCCTCTTGTCTGGGCGCGAGAAGAAACGTTTACTGTGTATTGCAATTGTGTATGAACTTTGTAGGAGAGTGGGTTTTTGTTTTGTATGATAAAGCGTAGTTTTGATGGCGGCTAAAATAAATTCAAGATTTCTCCGCCCGGATTAACAAGAGTCATTGTTTCAAAACACTTTAACATTGTTTTTTAAAAACTACAAATTTTTAATCAAAAGCAAAAAAAATTGGTTTTTGGCGACTAAAATGATATAAATGGGATTTTGTTTTATCAACTGAGTGGGCAATGCAAAACTGGCCACTTCAAAGAGTGTAAAAGCTGACGTTTCGAGCGTTAGCCCTCCGTCAGAGAGCGAATTTACAGGCTCTGAAAAAGGGTTAACGCTCGAAACGACTGCTTTTACACTCTTTACAGTGGCCGATTTACATTATCCACTCAGTTGATAAAATAAAATGCTCTTGTTATACTCCCCTACCGACGCTGCACCACAGTTTCTTTAGAATCTTTGCTCCCTTTATCGAAATATAAGAGATCTCCTCCAATTCATTCTCCAGTTGAACTCGATGGCTTTGCTTTCGAGTCTGTTAACTGGGCTAAAGTGCTCGGCGTTACCATAAGAGATGATTTCAAATGGAACGATCACATCTTTAATGTAACCTCAAAGGCTGCCAAAAGATTGTACCTCCTGAGTCAACTCAAACATGCTGGTATCTGTGCGAGTGATCTTGTTTTATTTTACTGTAGTACCATAAGATCGGTTTTAGAATACGCATGTCAAGTATTTCACTCCAGCCTTCCGTTCTATTTATCTGAAGACCTGGAACGTATTCAGAAGCC